TATATTTTATATTATCTATAGAAATTAAAAAAAAAAGAAATTATTATTCATGATAATAAATTGATTTTATTATATAATTTTTTCATAGAAAAATTCTTTTCAATCATAAGATAGCATGTTTTTTCAATTTTTTGAATTTAGTGAATAAAAATGAAATGACAGTAAATATATTTATTTATTTATTTATAATAAACTAAAACCTATTAATTGATAGTATATTTTGAAAAAAAAAATATTAAAACAATTGCTGTTTATTTATAATATCAATCGAATTATATGATATTAAATATCAGAATAATTGAAACATTTCTCTATTTACTTTTATTTTTCATTTTGTTTTTTTTCGAACGATGATAAACATAAGCATATGTGAATTAAATTGACGATTATGGAACGCCCTCTTTCATATTTTAGAGGTTACATTGAATATTAATTGAACAAGGCTTTTCTTTATCTATATAATAGTCATTATATTGTCTTTATGTATATAATTGTCATTGTGTTTTCTTTATATATATACATATATAATAATCATTGTAGATTATAGTATTTCATTCTCAAGCATGTTTATATTTGGACTAGTTCACATCAATAATCGAATATGACTAAATCATTTACAATACGTACATATTTAGTTTTTGCTTATATCAATACAATATTTTTGGTGTTGGCTGTTTTATCTATTAGTATTCATATCAGTCGTTCAGAAGAAAAACATAAGATCAATGTTCAATTCGATTGATTTAATTCAAATAAATCTTCAATATATCAATTTATTAATATGACCTATCCTGAAGTAATAATTCATTATCCGATATTCGAATAATTTCCAAAAATTAAATTATGTGAAAACTATGATTATTCTATAGAATTTGGAAAATGTATTATTATATTATCGACATTCTATGATATACTTTTATCATTTATATTTTATGCTCTATCATTCGATCCACTTGTAATAATATGCATGACGTCAATCATTATATTGTTTACGAATTTCATAAGTGACATGTTAACAATAATGATATTAGAAATTTGTCTTATACTAGCTGGCTATCTAATGATATTTATTGAATGTACGGCTTCAAAACTTGAAGAGCATCAATCAAATTGCTGGTCAAAATTGAAAGATCCTCTCATTAATGAAAGATATTGATAGATGTAATTCTTTGCATGTTGTACAAAGATCCCTGCACAATGTTAATTTTGTTGTATTTATTATTTTGTTTATTTTTTTTTTTGTTATTATTATTATGATAAATAAATAATTTATTTAGTAACTATGTGTAAATGATATTCTAATTAATTAATATATATATCTTAGGCAAAATTGATTTGTAGTTAGGCGCGAAATGAAGAAATTCTTTTCTTTCATATGAAAATGAATTCAAGTTTTCATTTTGATTAAGAAAAGAGAACGCACTTAGTTTTTTAATTAAATAAACTTATTATGTTCAATTCTCACCGATTTATACTCTTTGGAAGTAATCCAACACCAGATTCTGGTTCGTTTTCAGTGCCTTTTTATCCACAGATTTGTAAACAAATCATAAAAATACCTCACGACACATATGATCGATAACGTGCAATAAATTGCTAACAAGACTTTATAACTAGTTGCATTATTTTTACATTAATATCTTAAAATCCTACTGTGTGTGGTAAACTATAGGATTGAGTACCGATGTCTTTTTAGCATAATGTCGTCTTGCACAATCAAAACTGTGTCTTCTCTTCATTAAATTCAACTAATCTAGAAATAGTCACACATGAGGGAACAAAAAAAAAAACAAAAAGAAGGTTAGAAGTTCAGGAAGATGTCATACAAGCGAGGTATAACGACTAACAACCAGAGGCGGCGGAACGACTCTAATTTAGGGGAGGCTCAGAATTTTTCAGGCAGTCATGGGAGAGTGAGATGAACGAGAAGGGGCGATTTTATACCTTTTCAACTCTAACTCATATTAAAGAGATATCAGTTGTCCCGATATGTTTTCAACAGGGTTTATTTCGTATATATTTTTTTGCATAGGCAAACCATGTAATCTTGAAATTTCGTCAAAAGATTCGCCGTTATATTTGCGAATCTTCCGTGATTTATCTTTTTTTGGTATTTACTAGATTCATTCAGCAAACGGAATTCCTCTGTTTGATAGCACAGAATACAATTCAATCATGTTTTAAAAAAAGTATATGATCTGAAAGAGTGATCTTTCACCTTCAACCAAGCATCTGCCTTTGCTTCAATTTCTTGCATTTGATGATGAAATGAGTACGAAGACTTACAGAAAAATTTCGAAAGAATGATTCGCCGAAATTGCTAAATTCTTTAAGACAACCGCATCACAAGGACCTGTTGAGTTGTTCTGAAAAGCTTTTAGAAAAGCGAAAGAAAGTATGTATGAAGTATTATTACTGTCTATTATATTGGAAGTAATTAATACATCTCCAATATGTCTATTTCTCATTAGTCTTCGCACAAAAATTCTGGAAACTTGAATGTTTTTTTTGAAGAAACAAAATGTCCTCTAGACTAGTTTTATCAATTTTGAGCAGGATTAAATCAACGACTTACAAGATGCTACAAGTTTTCACTCTTCTGAATTGATTTTGCTCTTCTATTTTAACGATGAAGCGCCTAATTATTCCTTTTTAATTCTTTAATGGCGACTTTTGAACAGGAAACAAATTACTTTGGTAGTATCATTTTACTTAGTAATGCTTTTTTTTATAGACAAAGCTTGACTTTAATAATTATCAAATCATTTCTGGAGCGTTTATTCTACTTCTATGGTGAAAAATTCCAGTGTCTCGTACATCTTTAGTTTTTTCTCTCTCTAAATCGATTACAGTATGGCGAGAGAACATTTTTCTCTGGATATTGTCGAGAGTTTAATGGTACACCTTTAAAAGCGATTCAAGTCTTTATCAATTTTCGGTGCAAAGATAAATGAAAAACAGATATTATTTCAAATATGTTTGTTAACTCCAATATAATCTGAAGTAGAAACCTTTTACACATCTTTTCTTTCAGCTTTCTAAAATTCATCGGATCAAATCAACAGGATTTTTTGGATCGCTTTGTTAGACACCACCGAAACATATTTTTAAAAAATTCAAGATTTTACCATTTGCGTATGCAAAGATATATACAAAATAAATTATATTGATAATATCTTTGGGATATTCAATATAAACTCAGGATGAGATTCGTAAAAATTTCTCAAATATTGAGTCTCCTCAAGCATTCTTCTTCATTTTTTTATGGAAGGCTTGAATTTTTCGGATACTAATGGCTTGGCTGTCTATAGCGCTATCCAGCATCTAGCTGAACGCAATCTCGTTCAAAGAGTTTTCACTTACTAAATATAAGGTCAGGACAAGATTTGTAAAATCGTTACAAATATCTGAGCCTCCTCAAGTCTCCCCTTCCTTATTTTAGGATAGGCTCAAGTCTCCCCAAGCCTAATGGCTCCGCCGCTTCTGATTTTACTCAATGATAAGTCATATTTTTCCAACTGCACCTTCCTCAAATTCTAAGATTATTGTTTCTTTATCATTTCAAAATCTTTCAAAAGTCAAGCAGACAAGATAACAAAACTTTTAATGATAAATACAAAAATACTACGGCACCATAAACGTTTTCAGTGTGTTGACTATTCCTATGTATAATCGAGTCGCTAGTAATAATGTGTTAAACTGTTTCAAAAAAAAATGCAATCATATATACCTGCGGTCTAACTTCAAAATGAATATTACTTTCGAGAAAAACCAAACATCACCTTTTTCAAATCGTGTTCTCTAATCAAACACGAGATCACGATGAGATCTGTAAATTTTTTTCAAATATCTGAGCCTCCCCAAGCCTCCACAAATTTTTTTTATGGAAGGCTTGAGCCTCTCCAGGCCTAAGGGCTCCGCCGCCTCTGCTAACAACCATTACCTTTGATAAGAGAAATACTTATCTAGCTGATTTGTGCCAATCCATAAGCGTCTTCACTACCTTCTGCTCGAAAAAAAATCAGAAATGTGAATGGAATAGGTGATAAATATGTAAATAGCTATGAAAATGTAGAAGTAGTTCTGCGAGATTGAATAGTCATTAAACACAATATTCGAAAACTAGAACTAACCAACTACTGAAAATCGTTCTCTTCGTTGTTACTTAAAGTTATTCATATGGGAAAATTGTATTTCTTTTGAGAATGAACTATTTTTAAAAAGAGACAAACTAACATATTTATTGAGTATTAATTGTCGAATAAATACCGTTGCTATTACATTATGAGAAGACATAAATTAAAGTCGTTCGTTAGTTTGTTGGATGCGATAGAACTCGATTAAACATAATAGCGTCATCTATATTGTTTGCATATTATCTATGAACTGTACTGTATTCGGAGGGAAGCAGTTAGGTATCGATCAGAATTGATGCTTGATTATAAAGAACATCCTTTCTTTTTTTTGGTCGGACTGGTTACGATCAGGTCAATGTCAGTGAAATATATTAGCGAACTCTACATCTTCCCAAACTTCGCTTAATTTCTATTGAATATAAGTCGCGCACTCTACATCTTCCTAAACTTAGATTAATTTGCATTTAATACAGCTTGCGAACCCTACATCTTCCTAAGCTTAGTTCAATTTGCATTGAATACAACTCGCGAACTCTACATCTTCCAAGCTTAGTTTAATTTTTATTGAATATAATTCGCGCTCTCTACATCTTCCTAATCTTCGTTCAATTTGTATGTAATACTACTCGCGAACTCTACATCTTCTTAGACTTAGTTTAATTTGTATGGAATACAACTTACGGAACTCTACGTTCTGTCTAATTCTATAGTTACAAAAATAGACAAGTTTTCTTTAATTTTTTTTTAAAGTTCTGTTAAAATAACAAGTCTTTCAAACTTAGTTTAATTTTGCCTAAATCTCAATTTTGCCTGACACATATATATATATATATATATAATGAATATTAATAAAATAAAACGATGTTATAATGAATGTTTATTTTTAACTAAATAAGTCAACTTAACTAATTTAGCATGATAATAAATAAAAGAAAAAGAAGAAATAAGTAAATGAAATAAAGTAATAAAATCATTCATAGTTGATGGATAAATTGTTTTAGCTAATATATATATTATCCAAATAAGTAAATATAAATCTTGATGTGAACATTTATTTAATTTATTTTTTGTATTTAATTTAGAATTTATTTGATTTGATGTTCTTTTATATTGATAATCGGAATAAAGTAATTTATATTGATTTCCACCAAATATTTCAATAAATGTTTTTCTATATCTTTCTAATATAATTAATGATATATTAAATGTATGTTCAATTTGATCAACTTTTGATCGAATTAAATCAGATAAATTGGTCATATCTTCTCATTTATCTAATTTATCAAAAAAAGAAAAACAATTAATTCTAAATACTTAGCATTTTTTAATAAACGTAATATTGATATTGGACTATTATTATTTGTTCTTATGTGAGAATTTCGTCTACATGATACATCTAACAATACAGCTAACCAATGCAATTGATCTCCTTCTAACACATAATGTTTAGGAATATGTTCATATGAATGCCATGTGTCTAATTTTGTTTCCATATCCATATTTAAATCAAGACATATTTTTCAAAATAACATTTCTACTGATTCACATCATTCTTTGATATTTTGCTTCTTTTTTTTTTTTTCTTTTTTAAATAATAAAAAACAATAATTGACATTGATTGAAATAAAAAAAAAAAAACTTACATTAATAAATCAAATAAATCAAATTATAGATATCTGTGTTCGTTCGTTAACAGATTATTCTAACGACAATTCAGTCATATTTATATTTACCTACATTTAGATTTGTTTTTTCCTAAATCGATTCAATCGACCAACGAATAAATATTTGTTTGACTTAGTTCATTGCAAAATGATCATCTACTAGAAAAAAGAACAAGAAAATGATCAATAATGTTCTTTTTTTTTTTTTTTAATTCAATTGATAATGTCAGCCAAACCAACTATGATTAGCTGGATAGATAGATAAACACTAAATAGAAATATCTAATGTTTAATATATTATTTTAATTAACAAATCGAAAACAAAATAACCAAGATATATATATTATTATGATTTATATTCTTTGGTCTTTCTTTTTAATGAAACATTTTTTTATTTTAAAAGTTAAACATTCTTTTATTTATGTTTGTCAACATTTGTTATTTCATATTGTTCAAATTCAAATAGAAAATTCTTGCATAATATTCTCAAATATTTTAAAGAAAACAAAAAAAAAAATATTCACTCAAATTTAATATCAGTTTTCGTATAATTAATAAAATAAAAAGAGTATTATTCAATTAACTCAACATCTTGTTTCAATTAAATTTAGAAAAAAAAAAATAAAAATAAAGACAACGAATAATTAATGAAGCATTTAATATATGATAAATGAAAGTATTTTTAACAAAAGAAAATTCAAGAAGGATTTCTATTGGTTTATTTCGAATGATTTTCTTAAAACTGAATCGATATTTTTGTTTCACACAGATCTTGTCTTTGAATTTTTTCGAAATTAAAAATAATATTTCAATAAAAATATTAAATATATATTCCAATATAAATATATTAGTTTTGATTTCGATCGATTACTAGCGACATCGTTTAGATATGATTTTATATATATAGGATGAAGATATTTTTAAATCATTATACATAATTATTATTTTTTTATTTATTTATCATTTTAATAAATGATTCTTACTTTGAAAAACTATCATTTTTCATGCATTTATCAGAAAATCGAAGTAAATTATTTTCAAATGTTTATTTTATTGTAAAAATAACAAATTTTTAGAAAATTTTTATAAAAAAAAAATTTTATTTTTCATAAATTATTTTCGAATATTTGATTAATCAAAGTACATACAGATAAAAAATAAAAAAAAAAATATTTTAATAAAGAAATTATTTATTTTTTTCTGAAAAGTGACTGCACTTTCTAGAATAGATCAAGTTTTTAAGTAAAAAAAGGTAAATCATCCAGAAAGAATTCGAAACATTTGCAAAAAAGTATATTTTATTGTTATAAATGAAAAATATGAGAATTATTTTAATATTTTGTAAGAATTGTTAAGTGTTTATATGATATAAGATAACATTCAGATTTATAATCAAAATTTCAATTAACACAAATCCTTAAAAAGAAAACATTTTTATTATAATAATGTTAGAGAAGTTTTTGAACAGATAATTACATATTATCGAAAAATATTGACGAAATAAATTGATTTTAAACCCTTGATTTATGTTATATTCATAATGACCGACAAAGACTGATTCATTTAACACTTTAAATTAAAGTTAGAAAGATTTCTCACTATATTATTATTATCATCAATCTTAATTATTTAATAAATAATCGAGTTGAGATCTTTTCCCCAGACTTTAAATCTATTTATAGAAATAGCAGTCACCTTTAAATAAAATCGAATAGATTATTTTTATTTAAATTAGTATGAGCAAGTTTTTTTTTTTTTTTATTTCGAAGAATAAAAACTAAAATAGCCATTTTACTTTTATTATTTCAATTATTTCTTCAATAAAATATTAGTCGAGATTTCTTGTTACCAGTTTTTTTTTAAATATATTCCTATAAGATTTTCTTTTTGTTATTTCGTCTTCGTTGGTTAATATTTCGAAAAGAATCAAAATATTTTTTCTAAATAAAATTCTTCATTTATTAATTATTTAGGTCGATCCAAAAGTAGTCAGAGTGACCCTTTAATGCCTTATAGTAAGTTGAATGAAAGTTTCTTTTCGTATGAAACGATAGAGAAAAAAATGGTCTATCTATCTATGCTATTTAATTATACTTTAGTTAATATTATGAGAGGGGTGTCATAATATCCGGAACTCGGGTATCGAGAATTTAAAACATCCATATATTCTTAAAAACTGAGGATTTTGAGTGAACTTGGTGTAATGAGATGGATACCCAAAATGGATACCCTATCTTATAAAGTTGAGGATTTTGAGTGAATTTGCTGTAACGAGATGGATACACAAAATGGATACCCTATCTTATAAAGTTGAGGATTTTGAGTAAATTTGGTGTAACGAGATGGATATCCAAAATGGATACCCTATCTTTTGTACCATAGCGGGTAGCCAAACTCGGACTGAGTCCCTGACCCATAACTATACGAACGTCAGTTCACAAATGTACAGAGTTACCAAGGACTGTATCGTCAGTCATAGGCAAGTTGATATCCAACCTCCGCAGGCTTAAACACTTCCGCTGAGTCGCGAATATGCGAATCGTCGTCCGGATCCAAACCGCTAATGTGGAACTATAGTGACAGTGTCACGTAGAAGGGTAGACAGAGAAATACTGGGAGGGGAAATAGGAATGGGCATCTCTGGTCTCGCCCACTTTCGATTAGAGCGAATCCTGAAGGTTGAATTGTATTGTTCAAAATTTGTCAAATATGCGAGTATACAATAATTCAATAGCTGCAGTACAGATATTCTACTGTTCAATTATTGAAGAGTTGAACAGTTGAAGTTATCTGTTCACTTATTAAATGATGGAATAGTTGAATTCAACTTTCCGGTTTAACATGTATATCCACTCGCTGAACTCGAAGCAGTTGTGATATCATATGTGCCCGTGTCGTTCCGTGTGTTCGTCGGCTGGCGGAACGAATTCCAGGTGCGGTACCGTGCGTATGTTTTCTGGCATTTCCACTATTTCGCACCACCCGCACCAGGTGCTGTGCCCTGTGAATATTGTATCGTGTGTGAGTTCTTTCGCAGCACACATACCAGGTGCCATGCAGGGTGTGTATTGTCCCTTACATAAGTCCTTTCGCGGCACCCACACCAAGTGCTGTACCCTGTGTGTGTAGTTGCCTGTGTCCGTCCTTTCGCGGCACCCACAGCAGGTGCTGTGCACAGTGTGAGTTGTTCCTTGTGTGAATCTTTTCGTGGCACCCACAGTAGATGCTGTGCACTGTGTGTGTAGTCCCCGGTGTGAGTGTGTTCGTGACATCCACACCAGGAGCTATGCCCTGTGTGTTGTGCGCTGTGTCGGTTCTTTCGCGGCACCCACAGGAGGTGTGATACCCTACATGTGTTGTTCCCTATGCTCATCTTTTTGCGATACCCACCATAGATGCGATGCTCTGCATGTGCTGTTCCGTGCCTCGGAGCCACGCACACGCCCACACCAACATCCACACCGGAATTTCGTTGTGAGATCATGAGAGAAGACCAGAACTCCAACAAGTTGCATAGCTTCGAAAGTTGCGAACGAGAATAGTTCAAAGACAAAAATTACACAAATATCATAAGCCATAGGGTGCACATATCACAAAAGACATTATCAGTCGTTAAAATCCAATCTTTTGAAAATAGAAACCGCGAGACCGCAACTAAAGCGATACAAAACAGAAAAGAACAACAATTGGTGAGACTTCCAAAAGATTGATTAAAGTTTTGGGACAGAGAAATGGGTAACCAAATACACTTTCTTATTGAAGATAAATAAAATAAACTTCTGTCGTATCATAAGCTAAGATTCTCTGTACATTGCAACATGTTTTACTTAGTGTTCAATACAACCAAAAGTATTGCAGAATAATATAAAGTTATGCTGCATCACAAGTCATATCGTTGCTTCAAATTTACTAAAAATCCTCACTTTTTAAGAATAGAGTATCCATTTAGGTATCCATCTTGTTACACCAAATCCACTCAAAATCCTCACTTTTTAAGAATAGGGTATCCAAATTTTTGGGTATCCATGTCGTTACATCAAATTCACTCAAAATCCTCAGTTTTCAAGGATAGGGTATCCATTTTTTCGGGTATCCATTTCGCTACACCAGATTCACTCAAAATCCTCAGTTTTCAGGGATAGGGTATCCAAATTTTTGGGTATCCATCTCGTTACACCAAATTCACTCACAATCCTCAACTTTGAAGGATAGGGTGCGCATTTTGGGTATCCATCTCGTTACACCAAATTCACTCAAAATCCTCCACTTTATAAGATAAGGTATCCAAATTTTTGGGTATCCATCTCGTTACACCAAATTCACTCAAAATCCTCACTTTTTAAGAATAGAGTATCCATTTGGGTATCCATCTCGTTACACCAAATTCACTCAAAATCCTCAACTTTATAAGATAGGGTGTCCATTTGGGTATCCATCTCATTACACCAAATTCACTCACAATCCTCAACTTTGAAGGATAGCGTGTCCATTTTGGGTATCCATCTCGTTATACCAAATTCACTCAAAATCCTCAGTTTTCAAGGATAGGATATCCATTTTCTCGGGTATCCATTTCGTTACACCAGATTCACTCAA